TGTTAAATTTCATGGTCTTAGAGTAGGAAGTAAATTTAGTATAGATTATCTAAAAATACAGAACATACAGTTTAGAGTCTACAGGAAGCATGTCTGAAGCAGCTTCAAAAGTTGAAAACTACTGATGGAGGGACCTGTGTATTTATAGATTTTAAATGGTGTTAAGGATTAACTGGAACAGTTTAAAAAAAATTCAAAATCTGTTATCCTTTGTACTTGAAGTCCTGGGTGTTAGGATTGAAAAATTAGAAAGAACCCTAAAAATATTTTGAATGCGTTTGACAAGTATGATATGTAGAAATTTTCTTGCAGTTTGTACTGTTGATCCTGAAATGCCAGTAAATGATACTTCCTCATTATTGCCCTCGTCTCATACTGATTTCTGGGAACTATGATATTTTTAGAACTTTAATGTAGGGCCTTAGAAAGCCAGCCAAATGGGGGCTTATTCTGGTACTGGTCTTTCTTCATCTTGCTTGAGGCACCAAGAGATGTATTCCTCAGCCCTGAGAAAGTAGCTATAAAACTTCTTTGAAATCTGAGATTCTGAATATAGGCCCTGCTGGGCTTTGAAACACTTGAGCTTTGTCCATACATTAAAGACCATTTGCCCTTAGCAGACAAACCCATGCAAGTGCTGTTTTTTGTCATTTGGGTAGTGTGAAAAAAGCAGTTTGCAAGGCAGGATTTTTATATATGTGCGTGAGTGTGTGTATGTATACGCACACTCATGCACATGTACAGCACACAGGGATAAGTAATGTAGATTTAAGAAGCTGTTATGTTTTTAGAAAACATAAACCTTCTAATTTTTTAGTCTTCACATGGCCTTTAATGTAGAGATGTCAAATCATAATTACATCAGTAGAATGCTTTTAGACTTTGGAATTAATCATAGTTGGGACTTTTTTTGGACAATAGTTTTACCTTTCTTAACTTCTATTCCAGTTAAAATGTGCATTTCTTGAGCACCTATTAACTGACTTCCCAGTTGAGTTACAAAAAAGTAAAAGAATGAACCGTTATAAGCCTATATATTACTGCATTTATTGGTGTTGTCATGCATAGTGTCATAATACTGTTTTTATTTCTCTTTCTTAAATAGACTCTGGAACTTCTTTACAGAATTACTAATGCACAGAATATAACCGTGATTGTCCAGAAGATGCTTGAATATTTACATCAAAGCAAAGAAGAATATATTATTGTCAATTTGGTTGGCAAAATAGCTGAGCTGGCTGAGAAATATCCTTTGTTTGGACCACAAGTTATTCAATACCTTTAGTTACATAATGATTTTATAGACATGGTTACTAGCAGGTTGAGCTCAGAGACACAGCAATAACTTCCATTCCTGATATTCAGGCCTTTCTTGTTGTCAAAAAAAGAAAATTGAATTTGTGTAGACTTCTTAGGGGATGACTTTTTTCCTGGTTCTTTTCATTCCATTGGTATTATCAGCAGGAAGACACCAGAATCTCTGTGTGATCCGTCTTTCAGTCCCTTCTTGTCTTTAACTTTACTTCCTACTCAGTTTCTTTTCTGAGTAAAAGTTCATACTGTTTTGGGGAGATACGTGGGCCACAGAGGATCAGGATGCTAACATTTATCCTTTATTGTTTCAACTGGAAATTGTCACAATAAAGTAGTTGGGAACTCTATTCACATGTGACTTTCCTTGAGTCAGAGGAACTTTACAGATCACAAGGATATTCCATTCTTTTTAAGATGTCTGCTGTTTAAATCTGAGATTGAATGAATGAATAATGTTGATCAAATTATCTTGGAAATTGCCTAAGTATAGTTTTGTCCTGCCAGTGCTATAGTTCTGGCCAGCAGAGTGATAGAACTTTAGAACTTAAGAGGAGCAAATTAGAAAAGAGAATAAACAACTTGTTCAGATAGATGTGCCACAACATTTAGCCTCCCTGAAGTATATATCATTTTCCTTTATGTATTTGTCCATAGTTAGCTGAAACATTTCTTTAAATTATTTCACTTTTGTTTATTGGATACCTATTACGTGCAAGATAGTGTGCTAAATAAAGCAACATGAACTTGGTTTATTAGGGTTATTAAATGAACTTTTACTGAGCACCTATTTTACATTAAGCTGGAGTCCAAAACAGTTTATTGATAGAGGTTAAAGGTATAAATGCTGAACTAGGATGAATTGAAGTGTTTTTTTTTGTTTGTTTGTTTTGAGGGTTATTTTTTTTAAAGGTTGATACAGAAAGGATAATTTTAGTAAGTGGCATTTGGAAGTGTACTTGTTCTTAACACTGTGGACACGTATGCTCCTGATAATGCGTGGTTTATTCAGACAATGAATGCTGTGTTTTCAGTGGGAGGAGATGTAATGCATCCTGATATTCCCAATAACTTTCTCAGACTGTTAGCAGAAGGTTAGTAAACTGTTGCGTTCTGCAATGTAAAGATTTTAAAATTAAGTGCTTTTATTACAGAGTCCTTAGAGAATTTAGTGGAAATTAAAATATGTCTCAATTTCTTTGTAGGTTTTGATGATGAAACAGAAAATCAACAATTAAGGCTTTATGCAGTTCAGTCTTATCTCACTTTACTAGATGTGGAAAATGTGTTCTATCCACAGAGGTTTCTTCAAGTTATGAGTTGGGTGAGCAGAGTACATTAAATTGTAAATGTTTATAACATTATTTTTTTATAAAACCAAATGCTAACAGCATATTTCTTCAGAAATCATTCAGTTCTACTCAGCTAACTCCTTCAGCTGTCAGTTTTCTTCCCCAGTGGCCACCTTCTGTCACTTAACTATTTAATTGTCTATTCGTTCTCACTGCCATCTCACTTGGCTGGTCTTTTATATATGGGTACTTATTTGCATGTCTGTCTGTTTCTGCAATACATCTGTTGTGTTTTCTATGTGAATCTATATTTGAATATGTGAATACTCATGTATCTGTGTTACGTTAGTTTTCTATGTTGCATAGTAATGTTACCACAAATTAGTGCTTAAAACAACATACTTGTGTTATCTCACAGTTTCTGTGGGTGAGGAGTCCAGGCATGGCTTAGCTGGGTTCTCTGCTTAGGGTCTTTCAGGGTTATAATCAAGCTGTCACTTGGGGCTGCTTTTTCATCTGAATCTTGACTAGTAAAGAATCTGCTTCCAAACTTACATGTGGTTGTTGGCAAAATCAGTTTGCTTTTTCTCATATCCTTGCCAGCATTTATTACTTGTAGACATTTTTTACAATAGTCATTCTGACAGGTATGAGGTGATAATCTCATTGCTGTTTTGATTTGCATTTCTCTAATAATTACCGATGTTCAGCATCTTTTCATGTCCTTGTTGGCCTTCTGTATATCTTCTTTGGAAAAATGTCTGTTTAGGTCTTCTGCCTATTTTTTGATTGGGTTATTTGTTTTTTTGATATTGAGTTGTATGAGTTATTTGTAAATTTTGGACCCTTTGGTGGTCGCATCATTTACAAATATTTTTTCCTGTTCCATAGGTTGTCTTTTCATTTTGTTGATGACTTCCTTTGCTGTACAAAAGCTTTTAAGTTTGATTATGTCCCATTTGCTTATTTTTGCTTTTACTTCTTTTGCCTTAGGAGACAGATCCAAAAAAATACTGCTATGATTTATGTCGAAGTGTTCTGCCTATATTTTCTTCTAGGAATTTTATGGTTTCAGGTCTTACATTTAGGTTTTTAATCCATTTTGAGTTCATTTTTATATATAGTGTGAGGAAATATTCTAATCTCATTGTTTTATATTTATCTGTCTAGTTTTACAGCACCACTTACTGAAGAGACTGGCTTTTCCCCATTGTGTATTCTTGTCTCCTTTGTTGTAGATTAATGGACCATAAGTGCATGGGTTAATTCCTACATTTTGATCTTGTACCCTGCAATCTTGCTGAACTCACTTATTAATCTAGAAATTTTTTTGTAGGTTTCTTGAGACCATGTTAAAAATTTTTGCATCTCTGTTCATGAAGTGTATTGGTCTGTAGTTTTCAATTTTTTTCCTACTCTATCTGTTTGGTTTTGGTATCAGGATAATACTGGCTTCATAAAATGAGTTGAGAGTGGTCTTTCCGCTTCTATTTTCTGGAAAGATTGTGTAGAATGATGTTGTTTCATTTTTTTAAGTGTTTCGAAAATTTCCTGTTATTTTTCCTGTTGCAGATTTCTAGATGGTTTCCATTGTCAATAGAGAAAATACTCTATAATTTCAGTTCTTTAAGTTTATTGAGGTTTATTTTATGGCCTAAGATATAGTCTGTCTTGTTACATGTTCTGTGAGTGCCTGAAAAGAATGGGTATTCTGCTTATTGTTGAGATATATGTTCTATAAATGTCGATTAAATTCTTTTGGTGATGGTATTGAAACAGGGTGTAGAGATCTGTAACTGTGTGGCCACCACTGATACTGAAGGGGTGGCCTCACTATCTGAGCAGAGCAAAGTCCTTACTTTCTATTAGGCTTCCCCTTACATCACCCCAGCAGAGAGGGGGAGGGCTACCTCTTTATACTTGGGTGGAGGTGAAGTGCAGGCTTCCTATGTGGTCTTCACAGACACTGCAGAGGAGTGGGCCTTTCTACAGCCTGATGGGGATGAAAGTCCTGGCTTCCACTCGATCTCTCTGTAATCACCCATGTTGGGAAGTTGGGGTGCCTCTAACAGCCTGGAGGGGTGGAAGTCTTGGCTCTCCTCTCCATTTCACTTTTGCTGCTGTGGGAGGGACTAGTTTTTTCTGTGGGGTGCTTGACTGGGGTAGAAAGATTTTTGTCTAAAAGTTTCTGTCTTCCTGGCTCTTTGGCTGGAGGGCAGACTTTTCTTGGGACTTTTTTGTCTGTGCCTATTGGTGTTTCTAGATGCTGGCTCTCCAGTACCCAGTCTAGGGTATATGAGGCAACAGATAAGCCACTGTATTGTTCCTTAGATACCATGGTCCTTTGTGATCTGCCTTCTTTTCTCTACCTTTCAAAGTCTTTTTATGTGTGTTTTATGTATAATATCAAGTGTTTTTCAGTGTACTTAGCAGGAAGATTAGGGGGGAAATGCATCTACTCTATCTTTTCAAAAGCTCAAGTCCATTGATTTTTTAACTGAGTTTTAGGTTACCTGCTCTTCTAAAGCTATCTCCCATCTTTTTTAAACCACTCAAAAAATTACTAATTATTTGAGGACTGAACTTATGTAGTCCTATTTTCCTATTTCTTTTTTTTTCCCTCTTCTTGTTACTAACTATAGATCTCCTCTTGCCTGTCACCTTACCTCCCTGTTTTTTTCTTGCTGGTCCAAATATTACACTAAAGATATGAAAATGCTTTATAAATACCATTTAGGAAAGATCTCATACTCCATAAATTAAAACTGTTAAGTTTATTAATGATTCTTAGACCAGTGGGGCTATATATCACTTGAGTAAGTTAGATGCAGGAAAGAATACGTAACAGATCAGTGTTCCTCAGAGTTTCTTCTGTGGATCATCTGCATCAGAATCAGCTGATGCTTGTTCAGAATGTATATTTGTAGATCCCCACCACAGACATACTAAATCAGATTATCTGAGGGCAGAGCCTAGAAATCTATTTTTATGAAACACCTCAGATTGCTCTTATGCATATTAGCATGTGAGAACCACTTGTTTAGATGCTTATTGGAAAATAATAACAGAATGTGAAAGTGCTTGTAAAAACCAACATCCAAACCTGGAAGTTCAAAAGAAAGCTAACTTGTAAAGGTATGCTGCTTCATGTATTGTTAACGATAAAGATGTGGAAAACCTTTTTGTGTTTAGTTCCAATTCTTGGTGTAATTTTGGTCCTAAAATGTACAATTGTATCTTAAATAATTTCTTCACCATGAGAATATGTTTAGTCTAGATTATATTTACTCCAGCAGTAGGTTTTGTGTAGATTTCTGAATATGGATGCTGTATAACTTGATATTTGTGTATATATACATATCTCTTTGTTTTACTCATAGGTGTTAGGGGAATATGCCTACCTCTTAGGTAAGGAAACGCCGGAGGAAGTTATAACCAAGCTCTACAGGTTACTTACGAGTGACTCCATTTCTTCAGAAACAAAAGCCTGGTTAATTGCTGCTGTGACCAAGTTGACACCACAAGCACACTCTTCTAGTATAGTTGAGAGATTAATCCAGGAATTTACCACATCTTTGGATACTTGTTTGAGACAGCATGCATTTGAATTAAAACATCTGCATGAGAATGTGGAATTTATGAAGAGCTTGCTTCCAGTTGATAAGAGTTGTGAAGATATGGTGGTGAGACATTTGTGTTCCATCTTTTTAAAAATTCCATTATTTTTAAACAGAATAATTCTTGCATTTGTGTTGTATCTGGAATATATCAGAATGTAATTTTGTAGCACTTAAGATGAAGGTTGGAGTTTTTCTCACATTAGTATGAGAGAGAATTTGAGAGCTCCATTCAGTAGTGATTCTAAATAGTCAGGATAACTAATTTTTTCTGGAGAAATGCAGTGAAGGGATTTATATTCTCTGACAGTCTCTTTTAGTATATAGTAATTTGAGAATTTTTAATTTTTATTTCCTTTGAACTTCTTGAATATGCCATTTTATTATTACTCTTTTTTGTTTGAGACTGTAGGGGAAAAAAAACAGTTCTCCATTTTATTGTGTCCATCTACTATCAAAATCTTTACACTTTGGAACCTGATCGCCCACTTTCCTCCTCCCACCTACTTTCAGCCACTGCCCCTTTTAACCCAAAGTACTCAGTTACTGCTCACCTCTGAATTTGTACCAGTCTCTCCTTCAGGTTGGTATAAACCTGACAACTTCCAAAAGAAAGTCAGATTTGTTCAAATTTTTATGTTCGATGTAATACAGTTGAGAAAGAAGAGAGGATGTCCACTAATTCTGACTGAAATGTTCTTGGCTTGTATTCATTTTGAACCTTTGTTCATTAATTTTTTTTCATTAGCTCCTGAAGGCTAGAGGCCTTGCTTTGACATTTGGTAGGTATTCCAGAGACTATATGAATAAATGTACTATACATAGTATTAAACTAGGAGGTAACTATACTTTCCTTTCTTCCAATAAAAGATAATGATGACATAGCTTTAGCTCTTAAGAATCTTATGAAAATGAAACCTTTAATGCCAGTTAAATGTTTGAGAATTATCTGCTGTTCTCAATGATCTGAGCTGCTTGCATACCCTTGGCTAAACCAAGAAAAGCAAATCTGTGGTTTGTCAAGTCATCACTGCTATATCCTCTTGTGAATCTCATTTTTCTTTTTCTCCTCACTTTTTCTTTTCTCCTTTCCCCCTTACTCTTCCTTCATCTCTTATTTCTTTTTATTAATCATTCTCTTGTACCTTTTTTATTCATGTATTTGTTGAAATTAAGTAATTTTTCACAGATTTATGAAAAATGTTTTTAGGTAGAAGGGAATAGGATAGTTAAAGGTACTATAGGAAGCTGAATAACGGACCTCCCCAAGATTCACACCTTAATCCCTGGAACCTGAGCGTATGTTACCTTATATGGTAAAGGGAACTTTGTAGATGTGATTAAGTTAAGGGTTTATAATGGGGAGATTATCCTGGATTATCTGAGTGGGCATGATATAATCACGAGGGTCCTTATGAAAGTGAGGCAAGGAATCAGAGAGGAGAAGGCAAAGTAACAATAGTAGCAGTGACTGAAGTGTTGTGGACACAAGCTGAAGAATGCTGGCAACCTCTAGGAGCTGGAAGAGATAAGGAACTTATTCTCCTCTGGAGCCTCTGGAAGGAGCTAGCATTTGCCAACACTTTGTTTTTAGCCCCTAGCAGGAGAAAACTAATACAGATACTATAGCTCATAGTGTATGTGTCTTCTCTAGTAGATTACAAATCTCATGAAGGCAGGACCTGTATCTTCCTTTGTCTCAATCATAGTACCTAACATGATGCCTTAACATGCTGGATGCTCAAAAAGGTATTCTGCAATGCAGTGAGGTTAATAGTAAGTGCGAATGACTTACACTGTTAGATTCTTAGCTGAGTGATTTGATTATAGATGTTTCAGAAAGCTAGAGAGTTGAGTAGCACTTCTAGAATTGAAGTTTTGTTTTTCACTTAAAAATTGTTTTTAGGAAATACGAGCTGAAATTACTTATGTGAATATACAGCCTACTGTTTAGGGTAAGTTTTTTTAATTCCTAATGTTTGCTTTACATTAATATAGGTGGATTCTTCCTTATCTTTTCTGGATGGTTTTGTGGCTGAAGAACTAAGTCAGGGGGCAGCACCTTATAAACCTCACCACCAACGGCAAGAGGAAAAGCTTTCTCAGGAAAAAGGTAATTTTTCATGGGTTTGTAATTAGCTATATTGTAGTGACTGTGCCACACACGCAGTGATCTATCAAGAAATGAGAACTGCAACCCAAATTCCAAATACCAGAGACTGAAATCTTCAGCCTTGCCTAAGGAAACACCTCAATCTTAGAACAGTTTATGTTGGATCGGGCATTCTCTGTACTAATTTGTTGTGGTGATAAAGCAATTAGCAAAACAGCTTATATTTGTATTTATTTTCTAGTCCATACCTGTCTGCCCCATATTTTTTCTTTTCAAAATCCATTCCTTTAAAGAAAAAAAAAATCTGTTGAAGAAGTGTGTGTTAATTTTTAAAAACTTGAATAAAAAATATATAAATGAAAAAAATAATTTTTTATGCAATTGCTGTTATAGTCATGTAAGTAAATAACTGAGGATATTTACTTATATTATCTCTCTTTAAATCTGCTTGTTACTTGTTTACCCTGATCTTTTTTTGGGGTACACAGAGAAAAAAAGTTAGCCTGGAGAGGTATTCTCAAAGTCATAGATTCCATGTACATAAGTGCCTAAGATACGGCAGCCATCCCAGAATTTTAAAAGGACTTTAGGGTAGAATTATCATGTTGGTCACTATGTTAGAGGGCTGACAGATATTAATGTGAGCATATCTACAGAGAAGTTTGAGGAACAAACTGGTTACTGTTGACTAGAGAGTTTCATTTTCATTCTGAGCAATCTTGTATAGCTTAAGCGTGTTAGAATGCTTCCTCCAACAGAATACCCGATCAGTGAGTTTAGGAACAGCTAAGATAGGAAAGACTATCTTTAAAGTTAAGAAATGTAGCCTGTCAGGGAAAGACTTCTGTCATGATTTTAGTAAAGAGGAAATCAGTGAGATATTTGGGTGGTGAATGGGGCATATATATGTGAATAAGGGGAGACCATTAGATACTGAATATTATCTATATAGGCATTCACAATGTTAATACTGAGAAGTTCAGTGTTGAAAGGTCTTTTTTTTTCTATTTATTATTTAATGATATTGTTGAGTACTTATTATTTTCCAGGCTCTGTGCTAGGCATTTGAGTACATCTAAATGGTTGATCCTAAAATGAAACCAAAAAGCATAAACAATAACTATAGGCTTGATTTTATCTTTTTTTGCAGAAGTATTTGCTCTTTTAAGGTTTTTGACATACTATTTAGCACAGTGATACCTAGTGGCCTAGAAAATTCAGTTTTCTTTCAAAAAGTAATCAGTTTCCTTCTCATTGAACTCCTCACATATTGATAGACTATGTGGAGGGGGTGGGGAGTAAAGTTTGAATTACAATTGCCGAACCTCTGCCTATAGTACATATAGAAGCCTTATGATATCTAGGGCATGGAGTAAAAATCTGGCGTTCCAGAAGGGGAGACATGGTCCAGTTGCATAATTTCCATATTTTCAAATATCTGGGGGCCATCAGTTGCCATTGTTACTGCAATTCAAGGGAAGGGTACGGATGGGGAGGTAGGACAAGGAGCCTGATTCCTGGCACTGCCTGTCTTCTCCCTTAAAATAAGTTAAGTGGCTGATGCAAATATAATAACCCTGAAACTCCTCGGTCTAATCCATTCCTTTGCCAAGTACATTTTTTTTCCCATGGAATCATTATAAGTGGGGTTAAACTCTCAAATTAATCTCTTCCTCTCTCCTCCCAAATCTTTTTTTCAAAAGTTCTCTAAAGTGAAATTGAAATTTTATGAGTTTAGACTGTTATATAATGGAAAAAGAAATCAGTTGCTAGACAGGGCATAGCGAGTATTTAATAAATACTTGAGGAGTAAGTTATAAAGTTATGTGTCTCATATTTGGATGGCCATAAGACAGAAAATAAAGAGTAGGGGGAAAATAGGTATTTTCTGCCTAAAAAGTTATGAATTCTGGAATCCTTCAAGTATCAGCTGGTTCTGATACTAATATTATTTGAAGTTTTTATAAATCATTTGCAGAGAGTAGTAATTAAATGTCACTTTATGAATGATACAGTACTTTGCTCTCTTAGGTAGAAAAATACCAAATCCATAAGAATAAACTTAAGGAAAATATTGTAAGATAGTAAGAATTGGCAAAAATAGGTGGGATAGTAGGGAACAAAATTTTATTACCAGTTCCTACCCCAGAAAAGCATTTAGGAACCAATGTGGATTATTCTATTAAAACATTGTTTGAATATATTGTAGCCCCAGTGTTACCAAAAACCAGAGATAGTGAAGGGAAATGGCAGTATAATCTTTTGTCTGTGGAGCAATGGCTTTTAGAAAACCACATCGAGTAGAGGTTGTTAGTTCTCAAAAAATAAAATAATAACAGCTGGGGATGGTCAGAGAAGTATAGCCAAGTGATCAAAGTATAAAAGAATTGCAGTACAAGGTAAGATAAAAAAGGAGTGTGCATATAATCAAGGCCTCTAAAGTAGTGAAGATTACAAACAGGTTTTGAATTACTCACTTATGCTCAGGATAGTTTATATTTTTCTCTTTCACCTGGATTACCTTCAATAACTCGCAATTCCCAAAGGACTCTCTCTGCCTCCAGCTCATGCTTTCTCTTCTGAATAAATTGTCCTTTGCTCTCATTCTTCATCTGGTTAACTTCTGCATAGCCATTAAGTTGCAATTCAGCTACCTTCTTCCTTCTCCTGACTCTATCTGCATACCATTATTCCCTCCTTGCTTCCTAATTGCACATGAGGTCTTGTACATCTAGTTAACTTCCCCAGTTTTTGACCCTCCTTCACCTCTGTAAAGATCTTGGGAAATTTTCACTAAAAAATGAAAATAATGTGGTTTGAATTTTGTTCTCAATATTGAGCTTTTCCAGGCCTTTATTAGATGACAATCTTTAATTGCTTTGTCTCAGGATCAGAATTTTGACTGTTTTCTAGATATTGTCCCCTTCCATGTCTGGTCTTTTTTTCCTCTGTTCTCAAACTCTCGATCTCAGATTTTGAATTCTTTCTGCTCTTTACTTAAACTTTTCATATTTACTTACTCTTTGGCTTAAACTCTTGAAACATTTCTTGAGCTCTTCACTGTTACTGGAAGTGTTAATGCAGAGGCTGGATGACTGACTGTCACATATGCTACTTAAAAGAGGCCAATATGGGATAGAAGGTTAAACCAGATGATTGGAAAGCTTCAAGTGAGAGGATATTCTAGCTGCGAAGGACCTTAGAAAGATTTAGACAAGTGGTTTCCAAACATGATTATGAGTCAGAATCACAAAGAGAGCTTTAAAAAAATTATACAGATTTTTGAGCTCTACTCCTATACCTTCTGTATCTAAATGTCTGAAAGCTTGGCTTACGTATAAAAAAGAATGAGATAATACCATTCACAGCAACATGGATGGACCTAGAGATTATTACCATATCAAGTGAAGTAAGTCAAACAGGAAAAGACAAATGTCATATGATATCACTTATGTGTAATCTGAAAAAATGATGCAAATGAACTTACTTACAAAATGGAAGGAGACTCACAGACATAGAAAACAGACTTATGGTTACCAGAGGGGAAAGCTGGGGGGAGGGATAAATTAGGAGTTTAGGATTAACAGATACATACTACTATAAGTAAGTTAGATAAACAAGGTTCTACTGTATAGCACAGGGAACTGTATTCAATATCTTGTAATATCCTATAGTGGAAGAGTCTGGAAAAGAATATGTATATGTACATGTATATGTATACCTGAATTACTTTGCTGTACAACAGAAATTAGCACAATATTGTAAACCAACTATACTTCAGTTAAAAAAAAAATAGTTGAGAGATTCTATGAAGTCAGTTTGATCTAGTTATCAAATCAGCAATTAGAAACTGCTGATCTAGTCCAATCCCTTCACTTTACAGAAAAATTAAGGTCTAGTTCATATATCTTGTTAACACCCAACCTACGTCAAGAACTAGTTCTCCTAATTAGTTAGCCCATTTTTTTCCTACTGAACAATCATTTCTATATCATTAATTTAGCTAACAAGCAAGTTAATTTATTTAGTGTTCTTTGGATTAGGTGCTGTTTCCTTTGGAGGAGGCAGTATGATATTGTGATTCAGAGTGTAGCTCTAGAACCAGAGTATCTGATTTCTTATCTCCCTCTTTCATTTTCTGTCTTTGTAATCTTGGGTGAGTTCATGGCAAACTCTTTGCCACAGTTTCTTCATTTATAAAATGAAGATAATAATTATGGAAGGTCACATTTTATTTTCTAATATATTTTTTACGATTTAAGAAGGTCCTTTGTATTACAATCCAGATAGTCCAAAAAGATAATGTGCCAGTTAGGATTAAGTTTAGCTAAATAGCATATTAGAAAATAGATAAGCAAAGTGGGGCCTTATACAAGGTTATTGCTCTTTCCCATTAAAGAAACCCAGAAGTAGGCAGCCTAGGATTGTTGATAGCTTCATGAATATAAAAGAGGAAGGGAGAGAGGAGGTTATTTTCTTCCAGGAGGATTCCTTCCAGAAGTTGTGCACAAAACATGTATATAATTTTATTGGTCAGAATTCAGTCACATGGCAAAGGAGTCTGGAAATGACATCTCTTTTCTGGATAGCCATGTACCTAGCTAAGAATCCAGGGTTCTGTTACTTAGAAAGGAGAATGGATATCGGCATCTGCTCTACCTGTCTACAATAGGTATCTATCTGCAATAGCAGTAGAAATTTTCATGGCTCTAGTTGAATTCATTTGGATATATAGACTCAAAGGAATCTGAACCTGGGTAAACCTTGTTCTTTGTAAGGAAGATTTCACATTGAGGGCATCAGTCCATTTGGTACAGGAATGTACCTAAGAGCATTTTGTTAAACAAAACACGGTCATCTCTTCATTCAGAGCTCATTAATTTTTGCATAAGAACACCAACTTTTCAGTAGACCTAGTTTACCAATTGTCTTTCTTAATTAAATTTTTTTTCCCTTTTAAGGAAGGTAAAAAGATAAAAATGAAGGACTGTTTGCCTCTGATCAGCTAATTGTATGGAGACTATAGTAGATATTCAATAAATCATAGGTACTTTATTATTATTACTATAAATATTTGATTATATCATCTCCAAAGTCCCTTCCAATTAAAAAATTATCCCTGGATTATAGTCTTCAATTATTTTATTTCAGTAGTGAATGGTACTTTCACAATTATTTTCATAACTTTTGCTTTGTTTTAAATATGAGCCTCTTATTGTTTTAAAATTCCAGTTCTCAATTTTGAACCATATGGACTCTCCTTTTCTTCATCTGGCTTCACTGGACGGCAGTCTCCTGCTGGCATTTCTCTTGGTTCGGATGTGTCTGGAAATAGTACCGAGACAGGGCTAAAAGAGTAAGTTCCCTTCTTATTAAAATTGAGAACATGGGAGTGTTTAAATGTCTTTAAATGTTGAAGGATTCCTGAAAGCTAATTCTGCATGGACTGTTGTTTCAATTGTTTCTATTTGTTGCTCTCAAGATGTTGATAGTGTACAGTCTGTCCTTGTACTTTAAGAGAGCTTACTTACTTCCAAGACAGAATAGGATGTGTACTAGCTTTATACCTAGTAATGATGTGTATTATCACTATATATCTTGCTTACACACACACACACACACACTCACTTTAAAGAAGCATATCAACTTATATACTCAGATGAATTCAGCATATCATTCTGCATTCCTCATAATCTACTTCTTGCAACTGTCTCATTGGAAGATTGACACATATAGAGATGAACATAAAATGAGGTGACTGACTTCACTTTAGGAAGCTGTATACTTTGCTCAGAATTCTTTCAGAGCTTTCCAGCCACCCTGAAAATTGGTGATATATTTGTCTAAACGTCTTAATGTGGAGCCAAATCTTCCTCCTTTTTAGGTACATTTTGATTTTGGAAATACAAATAAATTACTAAAAATGTGATTAAGTTAATAAAATGAGATAATATATGTAAAGTGTCTCATACAACCCAGTGTATAATAAGTGATTAATAAATAGTAGCTGCCATAATTAATAATTGTCATTGTTACCATTATTCAGAAGCTGAGTTTACCACATAAAATTTTATTGAAATTTTAATTTTTCATTTAATTTTAGTGGTCAGTTTGGATATCTTTGGTCACTGTACTGATATGACATAAAGTAAGACAATGGCTTTCTTGTTGTAAAGGAGCTTCTAAAAGAGTTCAAAAATGTTTGAGTAATGGCAGCATTTTTGGAATACATGTGGTAAAGTTTCATAGGTGACAACTTTGAAAGATGACATTTGAACATTGAGTTCTCATGTTCATTAAGGAGTCAGTCACCTTATCTTATGTCATCTTTGCATTTGTCAGTCTTCCAGTGAGATGATTATAAGAAGTATTTATCAGAGGAATGACACATAATGAGGAGTGTAGAATGATATGCTGAATGAAATGGCGTAAGTTCAGTTCTCTTATCAGGAAAGAGTTTTTTTAACTGCTCTGTTGACACCCTTTTTTCCCCCCCAGACTTTTAATTTTGGTATTCCAAACAAGGGGAGCAGATATGGTTTGTGTTCATGTGATGGTCGTGGTGGTAGCAATTAAGTGCCTCAAACAGGGAACAGAGGGGCAAGGGAAAGAGAGACAGAAACTCTCCAAGGGAGAAACATCCCTTTTACCTGCACAACAGATGACAGCATCTGCTTTTGTTGTATTGAACTAGGATCCAGAGAACATGACAGGGCCTTGTAAATCCTGTGTGTGTACATGTACTACCCTCAAAGAAATGACATCTGGCAAAGCTTGAGGAATTCTTTATATGCTATATTATTGTGAGGGATCAATTTAAAATTTCTTTCCAAAGAGGACCGTAGCTCAGATTAGTAACCTATATGGTAATTGACAAGGTGAATCAGCTTTAGAGATGAGATGATTATTTTTCTGCGTTCTCTGGTAACCTAAGAATAAAGTGTAGCAAGCCTAATTTAGAATTTCTTACCTTAAGCCCTAATACAGGGCAGCACCGTACCTCAAATGGGAATTACTAGAGCTAAGTATACCCCTAATCTTTTGAAGGTTGCTTGGCCATAATTTACATAGGTGTTTGAATGATCTGATTAAACATAATACAAAGGTATACCGTATAAAACCATAAATTATATTATTATTGTCAAAATCCAGGCAAAGATGACTCATGTTTAAAAAATTCTTTTATATTATGTTTCATATCATAAAAAGCATATTTTGTGTTTAAAATGGTTTTATGCTGCCCTCTTATATATTTTCCTGCTTCTTTGACTTTCTATGTGTAATTCATGACAAAGAAAATTTATATTGATAATAGGCTCAGATGCAATGATTGTAAGCCAGAAAAATTTAATAGTTTCAGGCTCCTTTTAGGCTCCTTTTCCCTCCCCTTTCCTGTTTTGCCTGTTATTGTGGGCTGAATTCCCTGGGAAGAGCATTCTGAGATGGAATTTAGCATGCGGAACACTAAGGAGTGCCCTTGGCATCAACAACTGGAAGGAAGGGGAAAGTAGAGGATTTGGGCAGAAGATGCGATGCACTTCCAGCAACAGTGTCTGCCAACCCCAGCCCATCAGAGCTGTCCTGAGTTAGGCTAAAATGAGTAGCCAGGATTCTAAATGTCTATTCATCAACCACTGGATGTGGGCTGCCCTGGAAAGGGGCATGATCTCCGGTAAGGTGACTCTCTGCGGCTGAGGCAAATCCCTAAAAGGATCCAGCAGCTGGGGCAAGAAGTCCTTCATTGAAAGGGGATCTGGATGGAGCATCCCAGTGTCCACCATGCCTACATTTTTGTTGTTGTTGTTAACCTAATGTTTGAATCATTTATTAGTAAAACGTGGGAGTTGCTTTTGTTTTTCTGTTTTTTAAAAGAAAGAATGTATTTTGGTAAACAGGGTTACAGAAACACTATAATCGTGCTGTGGGCAATCATGAATCCCTTTGAGTTGCTGTTGAGCATCTTAGAGATGCTGGGGGTCATTTTACTGGTTCCCATGACCACTTTTTTTGTCTGCTTACATAAGATCAACCAGTTTTCTTCTAAGGGGTTTGATAAATAACTTACAGTTTTTGTTCTCTTTTTAAAAACTTTTTTGAAAACTGTTTTGGTGCTTGAAAGAAAGGGAGAAATGAAGATATTTCTAGGGGAACATTCAGCAGTAAAATTCATTGAGGAGGAATGGACTAATTTCTTGTAGGGCATTCTTTATTAACATTAGATTTTCTTTTAGCCAATTAGTGCTTAATAGCATTAGTTCTTCACTCAATATGAAGTATAATGACATATTTTTGTTTCTGGCATACTAAAGAAAATCACACTGATCATGATTCTGACAAATTAAAATGGAATAATAATCAGTACAAATATTTCTGAGTCTTTCTTTTAGATTCGTTTCGTGATTTACCTCTCTTGCTGTAAAAATTTTAAAAATGTAGTTTTGAGTCTTGATAGGGGTGCTTAAATAAACCAGTGCCAACGATGCATAGTTTTTATATGAAAACAATAGAGGCAGTCTTTGGCTGTTTCAGCCTGCTCTTAGGACTGTCTTAGTCACTCCACATTCACACTTGTAGCTTTTGGGACAACAGTAGGTGAGTCCAAATTCCAGTCACTATTTTATACTTCTTCAAGTCAGGTGTAAAATAACTTGTGACCTTCAGGCTTTTTCCAAAGTATTACTATTTTCTTTTATAGATCAAACCTTATTTCATTTTCATAAATGTACATTTATAATAGTCAAAAAATATAGCTAGTGCTTACATTAAAGAAACCTTTAGGCTTAAGTGTAAGTTTACACATAGTACATTTGAATGATTTTTTTTTTTTGCTCTTAATAGGATTTTATGCAGTGAATATATAAAGGGTTAATTCCATCACTCAGTGATTAGAGCTATGAATCTTGAGTCATTTCTGATCTTTAACCCATCAGAATTAAAGATATTTTTGATGAGTCAATGGGTGAAAGGAACTGATTTACAGTAGTTCTATTTTTAGACAACTTATTCAAGCAGTTACATGAAAATTAAATGATCTAAATTTTTAACTAAGTCTAGAGTTCTGTTGCGTTAAATACTTTGGCTGAAGGGTTGGGGGAGGTTGGCTATAACTGAAATACTCTTGAGATCGAGGTTTTACTTGTGGCATATAGGATATGAAAGCTATTTCTTTTTTTTTTCAATACAGTGTGATACTTTATTAACTCAGTGCCAGTATTAATTCTTTAAATCAAAGTAAGTTATTAAAAATATGAATGCAATGGGTACTTTCATCTTTTTCAGTATTTGCTGCTTTCCTAAAAGAAAACATACTTAGAAAAATAATACAAGTTTGAAATGAAGCCTTTTTTTCCCTTAACTGATAATGCTACCCACAAGAGTTTTGTTTTATTTTATTTACTTTTTGTCTATTTTTTAATTGAGGTTTACAGTATTGTGTCAATTTCTGGTGTACAGAATAATGTTTCAATCATACGTGTATATACATATATTCCTTTTCATATTCTTTTTCATTATAGGTTACTACAAGATATTGAATAGAGTTCCCTGTGCTATACAGTAGAAACTTGTTGTTTATCTATTTTGTATATAATAGTGTCTGTAAGTCTCGAACTCCCAATTTATCCCTCCCCCCGTTCTTTACCTCCTGGTAACCATAAATTTGTTTTCTATGTCTGTGATTCTGCTTCTTTTTTGTAAATAAGTTCATTTGTGTAATTTTTTTGGATTCCACATGTAAATGATATCATATGGTATTTTTCTGAAAGCTGTTTCTAAAAGATCATGGCAGTGATGTATTTATTTAAATGCCTCAATTACCTTTAAACAATGGATCAAATTAGTAAATTTTTTTTTTACATTTTTTATTGATTC